GCTTTAAAATCGCTTCAGTAAACCTGGTAAACCTCTGGTAATACATCACTGCTCATGTCTGTTTACATTTCCCTTTTTCGCAGTGTTCTCAGCGGTCAGCGAGGCATAGGGATCGGTCCGATTGAGGAGGTGGATTATAATTTAGTTCGGAACACTGGATCAGGCTAACAAACAACTAGTGAGATACAAAAATGAAGCTCTTTTTTTGTTTAATAATTTCTGAAATTTTCTGTAAAATTTGATCAGTTCTAAGCACTTTTGTATCCCATGAACATTAAAGAAGAAACAAAAAAATTTGAATTTCTCTTAGCTACTTGTCCGAGAGGAGTACAAAACTGAAAGTTAGATTTTCTCGATCCCTGATCGTTTTCTAGAACTTTCTAAAATTTTTTGAGGTCTTCTGATTTTCGAAATTTAACCCTTTTTGGAACTTTTGAAATGTCTTGAAAATGTCGAATTTGGGAAATTTCGAAGTTTCAAATTTTCTGCATTTTTTTGGAATTATTAGGGATTTTTCGCAATTTTGAAATCGTTTCGAATTTCTAGATTCTCAATTTTCAGAAATTATTTTTTTTAATTTTTCGATTGTTCTTCCATGTTCCCACTTGTCCAAGAGGAGTACAAAGTTCAAAATTGGTTTTTTTTTTGGTTTCTAAATGATCGAAAAGTGGGCAGAGCCTTGCACTTACTACAAATTAATAGTCGATGTCACCGAGACAGCATTTCCTTGTGCGTCAATAATCGAGACATGTGTGGTCCCATGATCCTGTGGTGGTGCTTCAAACGATCCTCCATAATAATCATCGGGATGTGTCACTTCTGTAATCTTGGACCTAACCCAATCCGCCCACTCTTTCGATGTTATATTCCTGGCGATTTCTGTGGCATTTGACACAAAATTCGGGTCTCCCAACCAACTTCTCGCAGCGTAGCTGAATTTGCTGGATTCCAAAAAGTGATGGTATAGAGTGGCAATGTCTGTGAATGACTTCAAATTGTATTCAAAACCATCCATTATATTTAGAATCGCCTGAGCCACTGCGGAGCCCGAAGGAGGTGGTGGTCCACAAACGCCCCGCCCATTTTTCAGCTTTGTATAGATCACATTTTTGGAGTCATGGACTATTGATCGATAGTTTTTGAAATCTTCTGCTTTTAAAATTCCTCCGTTTTGTTCAAACTCCTTAACCAGCTTCTCAGCGATCGCTCCTTCGTAAAAATCTCGAATTGGATTTGTGGAATTCGCTAAGAACTTCAGCGTTTCCAGAAGATTCTTTCTAGTTTTAATTTGTTCTCCCGGTTGGAAAACGGCGCCTGTTTCGGGATTTATAAAGTTTTTCATAGTTGGTTCGGAGTGGATTTGAGCAGAGTTTTGGTTGAGGGCTTTGGCCAGGGCGTGGGAGGTTGGGTAGCCTGGAAATTCGGAGGATTTGAGCTTTTTTGGATTTTCAAAGGCTTTGAAATTTTTACGTTTTTTTGATTTTCAAAATTTTGAATGATTTAGACACAGAGAATCAAATTTCTAGTTTTGTATTCCTCGTGGAAAAGTTACTAAGGGAAATTTGAATTCTGCCACTGTTCAAATGCGCACAAAAGTGCCTAAAACTTTTCCGATTTTGCTGAAATTTTTAGCGATTACTAAGCAAAACTAGAGCTTCAGTTTTGTAGTTGACAACTTTTTGGTAGTTTTCCGCGTTTTCGAGATATGCGCCTTTAAAGTTGGTGCGCTCACAAGGCGAAACAAGCTATCTTTAAAGTCGCATATATCGAAAACGCGGGAAGTCGCAAAACAAAAAAATCTTTAGAAATTCCAGAAAATACTCAAAATTCGAAAAAAACTAATTTCTAGTTTTGTACTCCTCGTGGAAAAGTTACTGGAGGAAATTTGAATTTTGGTACTTTTCAAAAGGAAAAAAAGTGCCTAGAACTTTTCGGATTTTGCTAAAATTTGTAGAGGTTACTAAACGAAACACTATCTTCATTTTTGTAGCTGATAACTTTTTTGTAGCTTCTTCCGTTTTTCCGATATGCGCCTTTGAAGTTGGTGCACGCGCTCACATGGATCCAGCAAGCGGCACATATCTCAATTTTAAAGGCGCATATCTCAAAAACGAAGAAAGCTACAAAAAAGTTGTCAACTACAAAAATGAAGCTCTAGTTCTATTTAATATAGTCTGACAGTTTTAGCAAAATGCAAACGGTTTTTCGGCACAATTTTCTACTTTGTACTCCTCGTGGACAAGTTACTGGGAGAAATTTGAATTTCGGTACTTTTCAAAGCGGAAAAAAAGTGCCTAGAACTTTTCCGATTTTGCTAAAATTTTTAGAGGTTACTAAACAAAACAATAGCTTCATTTTTCTAGTTGACAACTTTTTGGTGTTTTTCTGCGTTTTCGAGATATGCGCCTTTAAAGTTGGTGCACGCACTCACAAGGCGAAAACAAGCAATCTTTAAAGGCGCATATCTCAAAAACGCGGGAAGTCAAAAAAAAATGGAAATTTTGAAAAAAAAGTGTTCAGAAAATTCCAGAAAATACTTGATATTCGAAAAATCCAACTTTCAGTTTTGTACTCCTCTCGGACAAGTGGAAAGCGGAAATTCAAAAATTTTGCTTGATTTTTTGTGAATTCAAATACTCAAATTCGATTTGAATTTAAACTTTAAAAAAATTTAAAATCTGAAAATTTCGAAATTCTCGAAGTGAATTTAAAAAGTTCAGATTTTTTGAGTTTTTTTAAGGATGGTTTCGAATTTTTAGAATTTCTGATTTCTGGAAATTTATTTTTTTTGAAATTTCAAAATTCCATAAAACCCACCCTCATTCAACAAATCAATGGTCGGTTTCAATAAATGTCTCCATTCGATTTTTCCGCTTCCAAACTTTTCAAATTCGGTCCATAGACCGTGTAGTTCTCCAGGCACTGCAATCGCTTTCCATCCGATTCTCGATTCGTTCCATTTATTACGGTACATCTCCTCTGTCGCTGCCAACGGAGCAATCTCTCGAGCGTCGATTACTGTACATTCTTTAGTGGTTCTGAGAAATTTGAAAATTCGAATTTTAGAATTTTAGAAAGTTCCAGGATATATTCAGGACTTGAAACTTGGAAAAAGTCGTTTTTCAGTTTTGTACTCCTCTTGGACAAGTTGCTAGGAGAAATTTAAATTTTCATGTCTTCTGTCAAGTTTTCAAAGGATACAAAACTGCTTAGAATTGATCCAATTTTCTGAAATTTTAAGAGTAAACTAAACAAAACTAGAGCTTCATTTTTCTAGTTGACAACTTATTTGTAGCTCCGCCCATTTTTGAGATATGCTCCTTTAAAGTTAGTGCGCGCTCGCAGGGTGCCATGCATCTTTAAAGGAGCAAATCTCAAAAACGAGGGAAGCCACAAAAAAGTTGTCAACTGCAAAAATTAAGTTCTTGTTTAGTTTAGTAATTTCTGAAAATTTCAGCAAAATCGGATCAGTTCTAAGTATTTTCGTATCATTTGAAAAATTCAAAAAAAAATCAAAAAATTCAATTTTGCCCCAGTAACTTGTCCGAGAGGAGTACAAAGCTAGAACTCCACTTACGCATTATAAATGGTCATGAAGTGTCCACCACCAAGTCCAGATGAATGTGTATCCATGACACCGATACAAAAAAGTGAAGCGATCGCTGAATCACGGCGTTTCCACCCCGTAATAAAATATTGCGACCGATTTCTGAGCAAATTTCATTGTCAGCGGCAACGGCTGCTTTTGAGTACTTTCCCAATGGAGAAATTGATGGTCCCGGCCAACGAGGAAGACGGGAAGTGTTCTGGAATATTTCCGGGAATTTTAGAAAATTTCTAGAGGTCTGGAATTTCAGAATTCCTGAAATATGAAAAAAATGAAGATCTAAATCTCAAACATTCAAGTTTATAGAACATTTCTGAAATTTCTGAAATTCTCAACTTCAGAAACACTTGAAGAAGTCAGATGTTGCAACGAGAACATTTCCAACAAATCCTTTAAATTTTCGAAGAGTTTGGGTAATAGAAGCCCCTTCAAACCGTCTATTTTAAGCTTAATTATCTCGGTTCCTATAAAATCTATCAAAATTTTGTCAACTGATAAAATGCTTATCATAATATTGAAAGTATTTTATCAGTGACCACTTTTTGACATCTATCCTAGGAACTGAGATAATTCATCTCAAAGTGAACGGAAGTGGTGGGCTTCTATTTAAGCTTCTAACTTTGAGCTCAATTTTCTCCGCTCCTATAAGAGATGTCAAAAATTTGTCAACTAATTAAATATCAATAATGTTACGATAAACATTTTATCAGTTGACCACTTTTTGATATCTCTCCTAGGAACTGAGATAATCAAACTCCAAATAGTGGTGGCGCAACCAACAGCGCCGACCGAGTAGACCACTAGCAGCGCACACATTGAGCTCAATTATCTCGGCTCCTATAAGATATGTCAAAAAATTGTCAACAGATAAATGTTGATAATATTATGATGAAAATTTTATCAGTTGACCACTTTTTCATATTTCCCATAGGAATCGAGATATAAATGGCCTCAAATATAGGGCCGACCGCTTCGCTCAGACGTGTTCACTTCAAACTCTATTATCTCGGTTCCTGTGAAAGATATTAAAATTTTGTCAACTGATAAAATGTTACTGATATTATGATAAACATTTTATTAGTTAACAGATTTTTGATGTCTTTCCTAGGAACTGAGATAATTAGGCTCCAAGTGGGCGCCAATCGCGCCGACCGCGTAGCCCAATAGCAGCGTACACTATGAACCCAATTATCTTGGCTGCTATGAAAAATATAAAAAAGTGGCCAACTAATAAAATATTATTGGTATTATGATAAACATTTTATCAGTTGACCACTTTTTGATATCTCACCTAGGAACTTAGATATATAGACTCAAAGTGTGCAAGTACAGGGCCGACCGCGTCGCTCAGACGTGTTCACTTCAAGTTCAATTATCTCGGTTCCTGTGAAAAAATATCAAAAATTGCTCAACTGATAAAATGTTTATCATAATATCACCAACATTTTATCAGTTGATTACTTTTGATATCTCTTACAGTAACCCAGATAATTGAGCTCAAAGTTGAAGTAAGGTAAAAGTGGTCCAAACTGAGAAACATATTTATTCCCAAAAGAAAACACCCCCACCTGCATGAGTAAATGAAAATAGAGTGAAGCAAATGCCACAGTCGAAATGAGCAATGTGAAAACGAGTACAGTAAGCCCGACGGCAGTCACCAAAGTTCGAATTTTCATTGGTTTTTCTGGCTCAATCAGCGGCTCGACCTCATCAAATGGACCATATTCTGGTGGCAAATTTTCCTCATCTGTTCCAGGTGGAAATGTATTATAGTAAGCGTTGCTGCTGAAAATAATAAATTCTGAAATTTCAGATTTTTTTAAATTTTTGAAAAATCCGAAAAAATTTTTTCAAAAATTCTCATAAAATTTGAAAACTTTATAGCGAATTAAAAAAAATTCCAGAATTTTGCTGAAATTTTAAAAAAAATTGAAATTTTCGAAAAAAATTTTTTTTTCGTTTTTTTTAAATTTTTATAATTTTTTCCAGAAAAATCCAGTTTTTTCTCTTTCAGATTGTATAAATTTTGTATGTTTTTTTGTGATTTTTGAGCTCAATTTTGCAATTTTTTCCAGTTTTTTGTTTTTTCTTTCTGCAATTTTTTTTTTGGAAAACTTCCTTGTTTTTGTTTTTTTATCTGAATTCATGAATAAATTTTCTACTTTTTGATCAGAAATTTCGCAAAAATTCTTCTAAATTTTTGAAAATTCAAACTTCGCGCTCAAAATCAAATTTCAAAAAATCTTAAGAGCGCATTTTCTATGGCACCGAAAACCCTTCAAATCTCATCTGAAAACCTGAAAAGAAATTCGCCCCGTGGATTATTTTGTATTCAAACCTCAAATTTCGCTCCAAAACTAAAATTTTCAGTTTCTCATTAGAGCACGATTGCATTCTCATTTCTTTTTTTGGCTCAATTTTCATCAATTTTTCTTGAAATTAAAAAAAAACTACTAATTATTGATTTTTCGCATCTTCCTCTCTCACCTCGATGGTTCTGATTCTGGTGTCATTTTGAAGAGCACCAGAAATCAGAGAATAATTGATAGAAAGTTAGAAATTTAGGCCAGCGAAAATGTCAAATTTAGTGACACTTTTCGTCTTCCCGATAAGAAAAAAGAGAAGACAATTTGTAACCCCCCTCCAGCAATTTGCGATAAGGAAGGGTACAGTGCGTGTGTATGTGTTTAGAAAGCGCGCTCCATTGAGAAAAACCAAAATTACTCAGTAGTTCTCTTTATTGGGTGTGTGGGATGGGATGGGGGGACGCGTCCGAAGAACATACAGCATTGATAGAGAGCAAATGAATTGAGGGAAGAAGAGGTGTTTGGGTCGATTTTTGGATATAGGGACATTATAAAAAATGTAAACTAATGGGGGTACAGATTTTGAGGTGTTGGGTGAGGGTTTGAAATTACTTTCAGGCTTAACAACTAACGGGATTTTGAAACATAATGACAATATCAACACAACAAAACGAATCATTATTTAAAATAAAATTTTAAATAAATGAGAAAATTAAACCGAAGATAGAAAGAAACATAATTTTTGGGGGAAGAAAAAGAACTGATGATGTGGTGGTGAAGTGGTGGGAGAGAGAGAGAAGATGAAGGCGACAACAAGCAAAAAACAGTGACAACAAGTGGGGACGGGTGGTTCTCAGAATTTAAAAAAAGTAACAGAATTGAATGTTAAATTTGTGTGTGTTAAACAAAATTATTGTCCACTGAGAACTCTTTGAAGAACGCCTTGAAGGTGCTCGTCGACGCCGTCCTGTTGAGCGAACTGTGGGAACGATGCGTAGATGGTCTTGAGAATCTGCTCGATTCTGCGCTTCGTGTGCTGACCGTGCTCGTCGTCGTTGAAGGCCTCGTTGGCGATCGAGAGCAAGCCTGGAAAAGTATAGATGAGCAAGGAGGGAAAATTTTGAGCTATTATATGGTTTGCCTAAAACTTTGCCACGTGGCTTGAAATTTTCACTTACAGACAAGGAAGATTCTTGGCAAATTCTGATTTTCATGTCCGAACAGAGCTGGATCTTGTTTGTCAAACAATTCGGCCAACGCTGCGTAGATGTATGGACTCTCTTCTGTGTCAGAATATGTTGGCAGCCAGCTCAAGAACATTTCGACGACCTGAAAACTCAAATTTCAATGAAAATATTGAAAAATCCAATTTTTATACCTTTCCGTATGCCTCTTGTGGAAGTGGCACATTGGCAATGATCTTCGAGAAAGCAGAAATAGCGTTTTCGGTGGCGACGGTGCTCTCCTCGGTGGCGCGAGCGTCTTCTCTTTGAATCATAGCGGCGAGTGGCTCCAAGCAGCTGAGAATCTCGTTCTTGTAATCGGCGACCTGATGATATCTGATAGCCATGACTCCGAATCCGTAGCTAGCAGCTTGTCGAACTTCTGGATACTCGTCACCCAACAACTTGTACATTATTGGAATCAATTTCGGGAAGCGAGTTGGCAAGTGTCCGACACCGAACTCTATGGCGTCATCGAGCAAGCACATTCCCCATTGTCTCTCGAAGTATTGTTTGGATCCCTCGATGAGTTGAATAGCGCAATCGAAAACGTTGATCATTCCCTCGAAGATGTCTCCCTTGAACTCTTTCATAAGAGAGTGAGTCAAGTCGGAGATGGCTCCAAGACACGATGCCTCCAATTCCATGAAGTAATCGAGCTCCTCCTTGGCTTCAGCATCATCGTCATCCTCATCTTCAGCTGGACGATCGCTCATTCTTTTTCCGTAGTTTTCAAGTTGCTTGAGAAGAACCGAGATGATGAGCTTGACCTCTTCTGGAGCGACGCCTTCCGTCTTCATAACCTCAATGCAAGATCCGATGGCGCTCATGAACGAAGCCAAGATCTCAACATCGTCTTCCTCCTCCATAGCAGTGGTCAACGCCTTCAAGAACTCGCACCACAAGCGACGCTTATCTTCCATGCCTTGCTTCTCGACACAGACTAAAAGGAATGGCATGATCTCAGCAGAAGCGGTACGAACACCATCATGAAGTCCAAAGTCCAAATTCTTGATAGCCAACTCGTAGACGTCGAGAACGTATGGCATGAAAGCCTCCTTCATTTCCTTAGCGAATGCGACAAGCATGTCACAGGCGGTAGCCTTCTCCTCGAGTCCACTAGTACGGATTCCGACGGTCTTCTCACCTCCGATTCCGTGGTACTCGACGCCTTCTTCGGTTTCTTGAATGTCTTCGTCTGGAAAAATCAGGGGTTAGATATTAGGGATGCAGTTGATCAGGAAACTCACTATTGAAGATGTTGAAGTCTGGGCGGTAACGAGCGGCACGAAGAACTGGCTCCATGACGACTGGAAGGAATGGGGCGAAGTCAGATCCGAGGATCGAACAGAAACGAGTCCATGAGCTGATCATGTAGCTGTATTGTGGATCGTCGATAGCCAAATCCTTCATTCCGTCTCCGAGAAGGTTCAAGATATCGATAGCGGTCGAGTGGAAGTGCTCCTTTCCGACGGCGTATCCGATGAGCGAGATGCATTCGATAGTCTTTCCTCTCAATTCCTTGAGCTCTCCGACGTTTTGAAGTATGTGAACGAGATTTGGAATGAGACGAGCGTGATGCTCCTTGAAGAGCTCCTCAGCGGCTTCGGCAACAGAGGCGATGGCGGTGACGATGTTCTCAACGACAACTTGATATCTCTTATCAGCCAAACGGTTGAAGACAGCGGAGAGAACGTTCTCGAGCTTCTGCAGAATGTATGGAAGGTATTGTCCGATGATGCTCTTTGGGCACTCCTCGGCGAAGTTGACGAGAGCAGAAGCGGCATGAGCGCAGACGCGTGGAACATCAGTTCTATCAAGAGACTCCAGAAGAGCTGGAATCACGGCGGCGTGGCACTTCTTTTGAAGAGTTGGAGCGAAATCAGAAGACATCTGTCCGATGGCGTTGCAAGCAGCGTATTGGACTCTTGGATGAGCGTCGTTGACGTACTTGGTGATGTGGACCATGATTTGCTCTATATGTGGCTCCATGGAACGTTGGCATCCTTCTCCGACGGCGGAGAAAGCGCGAAGAGCGGCGTGCTTCATTTTCCAGTCATCGTTGGAGAGAAGCTTCTCGACGAGTGGCAAGAAAGCTGGAAGCATGACTTTTCCGTTGATACAGCAAGCGACACGGTCGATGGCAGACTCGGCGATGATTGGAACGTCTTCATAATCATCTTCTTCCTCAATCTCGTTGAGCCACTCGTTGAGAACTTCATCATCCAACTCGGTCATGCAGGAGAGAAGAGTCTCGAGAATTGGTGAAAGAGCTCCTGGAGCGTACTTCTTCAGTCCCTTTGGTGCAGACTCCATGTAGGAGCAGATGACCTCGATGGCGTTTTGGCGAGCCATCTCGTTCTTGTCCTTGTTTCCGGCGAGCTGAATAGATTTTCCCATTACAACCATTTTTTGCTATAAAAACAACTTACAGCGAGGCAAACGCTGAGAACTTGATTCATATGACTGTTCAAGCACTTTGGAAGAGCAGAAGCCAACTCGGCGAACTCTCCAAGAGCACCATCGGCATCATCCTCGTCGCTGGTCTCATTGCAGACTTGGAGAACATTTGGGACCAATGCGGTCATGAGTCGGATCACATCCTTCTCCTCGTCGTTATCAACAGCGAAAGCGACAGCTGCACGAACAGCGGTGGACTTGATTTGCAAATCTGGTGTGGCCATGCACTTCTCCAAGACGGTCTTGAGGGCTGGGAGGAAGTGGGCGGTACGGTTTCCGAAGATTATTGGACATCCGCGGAGGATCAAAAGAGCGATGTAGTTGGCGGTAAGATCATCGCTTTTCAAGCAATGATCCATCAATTCCAGCACTCCTTGCCACGACATTTCTCCAGAGTCATCGATAAGATTGGAAGCGATTTCAGAGATCAAATCGGCAATCTTCTTCTTGATTGAGATGTCGCTCTCGTGGACTATCATCTCAAGAACCTTGGCAAGAATTCTCTGTTTGTTCTCATCGTTCAAACTGTCCCAAATTGCATCCCAGTCTCTAGACAAAACTCGTCGCAGGAAAACCAGCACTGTGGATCTGATCTGGAAATTTAGCGCCTTTAACAGTGAGATTTCTCTGGGGGGAAAGGGACGGGAACTTACATCATTGGCTTGTGCGAAATGATTATAACACTCGAAAAGAAGAGCTACTTTGGCGGAACCGTCAATCTGTTCATACTGTTCTTCGGCTTTTTTACGGATCTCGTTGTCTGACGATTGGAGTCTTTGGATAAGTTCAGCGAATTGATTGACGTCCATTGTTGAGAACCCTGGAAGAATGAAGGAAATAGAAAGGGGGTTTGAAGACGAAGAAGAGGAAACGCGAAAACGGAAATATCGAGCGGAAATTGAATTTTTTGCGCTTTTTCCCGGTACAGTAGGTCGAGAACCTTCTAAACGAAACATACATGTTTAGAGGCGGGTAAACAACTGTATCACGTGAAAGGCGCTCAAGAACTGGAAAATTGTGTCTAAAACTTCTGTCAAATTGTCGCGGATTAGCTTTAGGCCACAAAATTCTCGTAAAAATCGGAAATTCCAGCGAAAACCGAAGCAAAAAGGGAAAAAAATGTTGCGAAACTTTTCAAAAAATTTCCAAAAAATCGGATTTTTCAGCACAAAACGCCTCGAAATTTTGATATTTCTTATTCAAAATCAATTCTTTATCATTTTATCAGCTAATCAATAAAAAAATTTCAGCTAAAAACTTGGAAAATAGGTCGAAAAAATGAAATTTTGGGCCGAAAATTTGCGGCGAGTGCACTTTTTTCTGCTTTGCTGCATTGGAGCGCACTTGCTGCGTCATTTGAAATCAGTTGGCGCGAAAGTTGAATTTCGACAATCACGTGATTTTCATGTCAATTTTACTGGTTTTGTCAGGTGATTCATCACTAGGAAATTGACAGAAATGCGAAAAGAGATAGTGATAGTTACGAAATCAGTGTGATGTTTTACAAAAAAATGTGTTTCACCGGGGGGGGGGGGGGGGTGGGAAATGGGCAAAAGAGATGGGCGACACAAAAATGGCAAAAATGGATGAAATGTTTTTTTTCGAAATTGCGGCGAGCTAATTCCCGGGCAACCGACGGGGGGCAACACACTAGCCTATTCAAATTTTTTCCCTTGCCTTCCGAGAGACACTGGAGACAATGATCAAGGAGGAGAGACGCAGAGAAATGGGAGGGAAAGGAAAAGCGAGAAATAAAAACCAAGGGGTTGTTTACAGATGGCTGCTTCTTCTTCTTCCTCTTCATTTTTTTTTCATTTTCAGACAACCCGACTATAGTTATAGAACCCGTGAGGGGTTGTGTGTATTGTGTTATCAGATAACTAATTTGATGAGGAATGCACATTTGACTCAAAAAGAAGATCTGAAAGAGCGAAGTCGATTGAATTCTGAAAAAAAAACCAATATCCAAATTCAAATCTCCCTCCAAAATGCGAGGAGCCAGGTTTTTGCAAGCGGCGCACATTTTTCTGGGCGGCCTAATTTCGGAGGCGTGAATTTTTCAAAGTTTTGCCTTTTTTGGGCGAAAAATCTGGAATTTTCAGATTTTCAGACGAAAAATTTCGCGAGAAATCGATAATTGAGATATTAAAATAGCGAAGAAGCAGTGAATTATGTGATTTTTCTCCTAAAACCAAGAATTTTCAGGTTTTTTCGGGGAAAATCGAAAATTGATTATTTTTCAGGGAGTTTTGGGGTTTTCTTAGTTAAAAATGCATCATTTTGAAGAAACATCGATAGAAAATACGGAATTCTAGGAAAATGTTCGAAAATTTCCATTTTTTTGGCCTAAAAATTCGAAAAATTCAGTTTCACATATTTTTCTCAAATTTTGGCTAGAAATCCACATTTTCCTCCTCAAGTGACCAGTAAAAACCAGAAAAAAGAAACGCAGCCATGCGAGACAGGGACGACAGGCGCCCGTATTTTTTTCGTCTATCCAATACGAAAAGTGCATTTAGAGAACAACGGGCCGACGTATTTTGCACTAAAAATCATTGAAAGACCAAGAAAAACCACGCGATTTGATGATCAAAAAAGTGGGCGGAGCCTAAAGGTTCCCAAAGGTCCTGCTGTGACATCTGAATCCTATGCAATTATCCCATTGTTTACTGTAGCCGTGTGCAATTTTGCGCCATGGTGTCTTTTCTGGGAAAATTCAGATTTTACTCAAAACGGAAAATTAGATGATGACTGATGAGATGAACTGGGGCAGAGAGTTGTAGAAAAGAACACAAAATTGAACGGGGCGAAGGAGGAGAGAAATGGAAGAAGCGGGGCTTCAACAACCGTATACTAATCGGAGATGAATGGGGGTGAAATTTTCAGCGGGGTAAATTGAAATTCAAAAAAAAATGTAAAATTCAACAGTGTGGAAAAATTAGAACAAAAAAGGTGAAAGAGGGTGAATGAGATGATTAGGAGGAAAAAAAAGAAGCAGGGGGATAATTAGACATTATGAAGCGATCTCAAGTAGGAAGCAATCTCGGGCGGCACAGTTTTCAAGGTGTCTGGCACGTTGCCAGGTCCACGGACCAGCGCGGCCTGGGCAAAATAGGCCTTGTGATTCGTGATTTGATCGGCGATTGGTTTGGGTTTCGGGGCGTAGGAGAGTCGGCAGAATGGGTTGACGAATTCTCCTTCAGCGTTGTACATCGACGCTTGTTCCTCTTCTGGAGACATGATGGCTCGATCGGAGGCAGCGGCCGCGTCCAGAAGCATTGCAGTCTCGTGGGTCAGTATTCCGTAGTGGTTGCTGGAAGAATTTTGGGTTTCTTGGATTTCTGGATTTCTGGATTCTAGGATTTTAGAATCTTGTATTCTCCGATCCTAAGTATCAAACTGCGGTTGCTGAGATCTCTGGGATCTGATCTCATCATAATTAGGATTTTAAAGGTGGGGGGACATGAAAAAAATATTGTTCTCGAAATTCCGTTCAAAGATGCCTCTCGAGGAGTTGAACTTGTGAGGGCGATGATTGAGGGTGCGGCGCCGCTACCGACTGAGCCACGCGGGCAAAGAGAAAGCGCACGCCCGATTGCATACATAAAGGCGAGGACGACAGCTGTACGCAGAGTGACATTAAGCGTTGTACACCGTCACGGTAGAATGCATACTCTAGCTACAAAAAAACTACGGAAAGTCTCCTGTCCCCCCACCTTTAAAATCCTCAAAATCATCTTCGATTTTTAGCATTTTTGGATTCTAAGAATCCTAGAAGCTTCGTGAATTTGGGGTTTTCGGGTTTCTAGGTTTTTGATTCTAAGGTTTTCGGATTCTGGAATTTCTAGAATCTTGGATTTTCGGATCCGTAGAATCAGATTTCGGTTTTTAAGATCCCTGAGATCTGATCTCACCATAGAAGCTTCGTAGAACCTTCGAGTGCATAGGATTCTTCGATTCTAAGAATCTCCGATTCCGGAATTTTCGATTTTTTGGATTCTGAAGATTCTAGAAGCTTCAGAAGCTTCATAAAACTTACATCAACTGCTGCGTAGCTTCAGCCAACAAATTTCCCATTCCAATGGCAATGATCCGTTTCTCGGTCGCCGTCGTCGTGTGCTTCAACGCGGGCATCTCCAAACACACAACCTTCTCAATGAGCAATCCAAACATTCCAGTTTGCATGCTCTCACAAGACTTCACAAGATCCTGAGCGCCTCGAATAATCGTAAATCGACAGAGGAACACCACAAAAAGTTTCATAAACTTTGATGTCTTTGACGATTGTACTCTATTGAACATTGAAGTCAACAAGTGCTTCATAGCATCTCCCTCAAAGTGTTCAATCGATGGAAGAATCGCAGAAGCCAGCTGAAATCCGTATTGATCCAACGTCTTGGAATTGAGAAGACGTGTCAAATGATTCAGAATCAAGTTCGAATTGCCAGCAACCACTTGTTGCCCGTTCACCGACATTAGAACTTCGAGAACTGACAGAGCAGCTGGAACGTTCGCAGATCGAGCCCAAAGACGTTCGGAAAGCAGGAATGGGAGGAATGCGGCGAATTGATCGATGGATGCGTTGCGGGCGATGCACGATGAGACGAGGACCCCCGTGATTTGGAGAGCGTAGGGGATGAGATCTTCGAGATCTTCACGGAAGATCACTTCGATTAGTGGGAGGAGTTGGGCATCCAGTGAGGCACCGATTGTTCGTGTCTGGAATGAAACAATTGGTTTTCACGTCATGACCTAATTTTGGGATTCTATCTCATAACCTAGATTTGGGTTTTTAGGTCATGACCTAGATTTCAAAAATTGGTCGTGACCTAGATTTTGGATTTTTGGACCATGGGCATTTAGATTTTCAGGTCATGACCTAAATTCCAATTTTCGGGGTTTGATCTAGGTTTCAAAATAGCCCATGATGACCTAGATTTTCATTTTTACGTCATGACCTAGATTTGGATATTTAGCTCATGGCCTATTTCTCAAATTTGGGTCATGACCATGTTTTTATTTTTAGGCCATGAGCTAAATTCCAATTTTCAGGTTTTGACCTAGTTTTCGTATTCAGGTCATGACCTAGATTTTGACTTTTAGGTCACGACCTAGATTTGGATATTTAGGCAACGACTTAGATTTTGAAATTGGGCCATGGCCTAGATTTGGGTTTTTAGGTCATGGCCTAAATTTCAATTTTCAGGGTTTGTCCTAGATTTTGAAATTAGTGCCCTAATCTTCGAAATCTAGGTCATGACCTAGATTTAATTTTTCAGACCATGACCTAGATTTTATTTTTAGGTCATGACCCAATTTTAAAAATCTAGGCCATGAGCTAGTTTACAATTTTTAGGCTATGACCTGAATTCCAATTGTGAAATTATGACCAAATTTCAAATTTTAGGTCATGACCTAAATTCCAATTTTAAGATTTTGACTGTTTTAGAATTTGGGTCATGACCCAGATTTGAATTTTCAGGTCTTTACTCAGGATCCTGCCCTAGATTTGGATATTTAGGCCACGATTTAGATTTTGAAATTTTGCTATGGCCTAGATTTGGGTTTTTAGATCATGGCGTAAATTCCAATTTTCAGGGTAGAGATTTTGAAATTAGTCTAGAATTTCAGTTCTTTAGATCATGACCTAATTTGGGTTTCTGGTCATGACCTAGATCTTAACTTGTACGTCATGACCTGAATTTCAATTTTTAGGTCATGACCCAGATTTAGATTTTTTGTCGTGACCTAGATTCAAATTTTAGGTCATGACCTGGATTTCCATTTTTAGGCCATGATTTAGATTCTAAAATTGGGTAATGACCTCAATTCCAATTTTAAGATTTTGGCCCAGATTTGAATTTTCAGGTCATTTTTTAGGGACCTAGATTTGGGTTTAATTTCAATTCCAACCTAGATTTGAGTTTTTTGATTTTTCTGGTTCAAATTTCTAAATTTCTAAAAGCCAAACCTTGGTCACAAGCACACAAATGGTCTCGAACAAGAAGTGCGTATGCACCGAATCGGCCGGATTCTTCGTGGCACTCTCGATCAACTGCGCCAGCTTCTTGGCGATCGCGTCGGCGTGTCGAATCGTCTCATCGTCCAGAATCACAATAATTCTCAAAACGGCCTTGATGAGATACGGCGAGTTCTGTGCCTTCGGATCCTTGTCGAACGCGGCGACGAGGTTCTGAAGAATCGATGCGACGGGGAGATTGTGCGCCGAGAACACTTTTTGAGCATTTTGCGAGTCGGAGAGCAGAATTCTCTCGATGGCGTAGGCCGCATATTTATGAAGGATCGGGGTGGCGGAGGAGAGAAGAGCGTCGGATGCCTTGATTGCAGTCATCAGATGCTCAGGAGCCAGTTGTTTTCTAAATGTAACTGCGAATTTTAGCGCGTCAGCTTTTAGGATTGGCGTCTGATTGACGTCGGAATTCAGATGCGTTGCCACGTGTCCAATGAAGAAGTCGTTGATATCTACTAGCGGATTTGTAGCCGTCACTCCATTCTTCGCAGTTTCCGACTTGACAGCTACAGCGGTGATTAGAGAGTAAGCAATATCGACTTTGATCCATTCTCCACTGGCTAGAAGGTTCTGAGCAATCTCTCCGAGACATGGAAGCATCTTATCCTCGAATCTTCTACAAAGCCCTCTCGCCAAATCAATCGCTCCACGTCTTCTGGTCCCCACATCTGTCCCCTCAATGTCTCGTTTCATATAATCCAGTGGTTCGTCCTCAAACAACTCCATATCCTGCTGTCGTAGCAGGAGATTCTGGACACAAACGTTTTCAGCCAACGTCTTCAGAACGCCTTCTCCAGTGAAGTGACTCTCGTAGTATTGTCGTTGTGAGACCATTGAGAGGAACTCCAGGGCAGCACAAACCATCGTATCGTAGCGGGTGTCTGGACCGGTTTTCTCCAAGAGATGCCAGACGGCTGAGATGATGTCGGGAACGAATTTCGCGATTTCCTCTTCGTATTTTTGCGAATACAGCGCGAAAATCTCACAAATTTCGTGTTTTAACTCGTCCAGCGTTGTTGGTTCGCCTCCTGATGAAGTTTGAGATGGGACATCGATACTGACGAGGAGCAGGAAGTGAGGCATCCAATCGTTTAGGTGGTCCTGGAAAATTAGAGGGTTTTAGGTTTTGATGATTAGGGTTTGTGGTGAAAAAAACTGCTCAAAAATCGATGGTTTTAAGACCTAAACGCTCAGTTTTAGCTTCAAAAATAACATTTTAAACACCAAAAATCACAAAAATGCTTTGGTTGGGTAAAAATGACAAAAATTGAGTTTTCAGATCAAAACATCTTGGGAAATTAAGAGGTCTAGGCTTGGTAATTGCGGTAAAAAATGACATTTTTGCCCTTTTCAGCACAATCTGGCTTTGAAATCAACATTTTCAGTTTGAAAATTGCTCATTTCGAGGTCAAAAATGACATTTTCAGCTTCCAAATGCTCATTTTTAAGCTCCGAAATCGACACTTTAGCTTGAAAAATGGCTCAAAAATAAATTTCATATGACAAGAATGTCGATTCTTACTTTTTTTTTTCATCATAAAATAGCTTCAAAGTTAGCATTTTTACCTCAAAATACTCGGGAATCTCCTGTACGCACAACGAATGGTACACTTTCGCGATCAAGTTCAGCACTTTCAGCCATTGCGACATCATTTCGTCGCCGAGTTGATCCTTCTGCTGTCCGACTTCCATCATTTTTGCGAGGAGCATCGTGAGCGGTTCTTGGGTCTGAAAAGAGGAGTTTTAGCTTAAAACAACACTTACTTTGAAGCAAAAATCGTATTTTCTGCACCAAACTCGAGACATTTTGAGGTCAGAAATGATATTTTTAAGATCGAAACGTCTAATTTCAGCTTCGAATAACGACATTTTTAGTCTAAAATATGTCTACTTTGAGATTAGAATGCGCATTTTTAGCTCAAACGGTCAACATTTTCAGTTATAAAATTATCCAAATTGAGGTGAAAAAACAGCATTTCCAGACCTCGAAATCTCAATTTTCGACTCCAAAATCGACATTTTTAGTTCCGAAATCGCTTTTTTTTTGAGATCGAAATTAGATATTTTTAGTTCGAAAATATTCAATTTTGAGGTCCAAAATGGCATTTTAATACTAAAAAATCGCACTTTTTTCAGTTTCAAATTAAAAATTTTCTGTGTCAAAATGCCCCTTTTTGAGGTCAACAATGACATTTTTAGTTGCGAATTTGGCAATTTCGTGGTCGAACATTTCGAGTTTCCAGGTATTTTTAGTTCAAAAATGGTCAATTTTGATGTCCAAAAAGGCACTTTCAGGCTCAAAAATTGCCATTTTGAGATCAAAAACGGCATTTTTAGGGACTCAAACGCCAATTTTTAGTCCTAAAAACGTCCGATTTCGAATTAAAAAAAATTTTTTAGTTGCAAATTTGGCAATTTCGTGGTCGAAAATTATGAATTCAAAATAGCATTTTAGGTCCAAGGTTGACCATTTCGAGGTCAGAAATTGTACTTTTCAGCTCCAAACACGTCACTTTTAGTTCCAAAATGAGCATTGTTAGCTCCGAAAATGTCATATTTTGAAGTAAAAAAAAATATTTTCAATTGCAAATTTGACTTCAATTTCGTGGCCGAAACTTTCGAATTTTGGCATTAAAATGGCATTTAAGGTCTAAATTGCCAATTTTTAGGTTCGAAATTGCACTCTTCAGCTCCAAATTCATCATTTTTAGTTCCAAACATGATCGTTTTTAGCTCCGAATACCCATTTTCAGCTAAAAATCGACATTTTTAACCCTCCAAAAATCAAAATCTTCAGTTCAAAAAAGCCCTACACTTTGCAAGCACTTCAACAGCTCTCTCCACAACTCGGTCGACTTTGACGAATATCGAAATTTCCGGAAAATCTGATCCATCGACGTCAACGAGGCGATCAAATGATTGAGATCGTCTCCGGACAGAAATCTCGATAGATACGGCACTAATTCTGGCCATTTTTCCGGAAAATCGCGTTGAGCAATGAGATAAAGAGCGTTGGAGAGGATATCTTGAATGTTAGCCTTTGTGTTGAACATGGCTTCCAGCAGCATGTTTCGGAACTGCTCCTCATCCTCTTGGCTCATCTCTACTTCTGGTGCCGGGCCCTGGAATTTTGAAAATGACAATTTCAGGCCAAAAAATGGTTTTCCAGGTCTGAAAATGGCGATTTTAGGTCAAAAATTCGTCATGTTGACGTCTGAAATCGGTATTTTCAGGTCCGAAATTGACAATTTTAAATCGAAAATCGGGTATTTCAAGGCCCAAATTGGACATTTTCAGGTCGAAAACCGGCTATTTAAAGGATAAAAATTATTTTAATGACCAAAATAAAAAATAATGAGTCAAAGATTGGCAATTTCAGCTCAAAAAACGACATTTTCAGTTCAGAAATCTTTTAGGTCGAAAAATGGCTATTTTTAGTCAGAAATTGCTTATTTTGAAGTCAGAAATAGATATTTTTAGTGCCGAAATTGCGTTATTTGCGCTTAAATACAGCATTTCTATTCCCATTTTTTCTCTCCAAAAAGCGACATTTGTAGACTTAAAATTGCCGATTTTTTGAGCACGAACGCTCATTTTCAGCTCCAATGTAACTAATTTCAAAGTAAAATGGATATTGCTCCAAATTTGCATTTTTCAGCTCGAAAAAGTGTAATCTGTAATCCTAGATATGTCCTTTTTGAGGTTGAAAAGTGCATTTTGAGACCCCGGAATCGCATTTTTCAGCTCCAAAATCGTTATTAGGTCAATAATCTCCTATTTTTGAGGTAAAAAGCTTGTTTTTTAGGTTCAAATGTGCAAATCTTAAAGCCAAAAATAGACACTTTAAGTTCCAGAAGCCCAGCTTCGAAATCGATATTTTCAACATTTTGAAATCTGAACTTTTTTTTTTACATCCATAATTGACAATTCTGAGTCGAAAATCTGGTATTCCAAAGTCCATAAATAACAATTTTTGCCTAAAATTGGTTATTTTAAACCTAAACTGGACATTTCTAGATCTCAAGTTTATGATTTAACTGACTAAAACTGAAGCTTATGAGCCGAAAATTGGCTTTTTCATGTCCAAAATCGGGTATTTCAAGAAGAAAAATGCCATTTTTAGGTTCGAAAAATAGCTAAAACCGCTATTTCCAGCATGAATAGCCTTTTCCCTTACCCAATTTCGTTTCACGAAATTTTTCAACGCCACAGCGGCTGCCATTCGAATTTGAGGCGCGACTTGTTGTTCCTCGTTCACCACCAGCTGTAGAATCTGGATAATGTAGCCGGGCGTCGCTTGGAGTGTTCTCAACGCATCCTCTCCCTGTTTTCGAATCGCGGCGTTCGGCTCGAGCGTTTGTTGGAGTGCCGCTCCGATTTGCTCCATCTATAATAGAAAAGATATGCGAAAAAACAGGAAAATTGAGATTTTTCGGTTGCAAAAAATTTGTATAACTTTATTACAGAATTTCGCTAACTTTGACTTAAATGTATTGCTTCGAACACTGAAAAAACGAGAAATTTGCTCCGAAAAAACTAAAAATGACACAAAAATGCTAGAAAACACCACCGAATTTTGAAAATTTCGCAAAAGTTTCGCGGCTTTTCGACACAAAAAAAATTTTAAATTTTGAAAGTCCGCAGCCTGCCGTCGCGGTGTTTGCGTACATTGCGCTGAAGCTTACGAGCAAAGCGGGTCTGGAATTTTTCGATTAATTTATTTTTGAGTTTTTTAGGTTATATTTTTCTTGAATCCGAGTTTTGTTTCCAGAAAAATGGGTATCGGTGCCAAGAAAAATGCGCAGAAGCAGAAGAAAATCAATCCGTTCGAGCTGAAGTTCAATAAGTCGAAGTATGATGTGAGTGAAAGAATTCAATGATTTTTTATTTTTTTTGAAGTTTTTCCAACAGGTAAAAACGATTTTTAGGTTTTAAAACTTGCTGAGAACGATTTTCAGTAGCAAAAAGCCCTCAAAAACCCCAAAATTTTCAGATTCTCGGCCGGAAAAAAGGAGCACAGGTTGGAGCACCGACGGCCTCCAGAAAACGAGCTCATGAGCAGCGTGAGAAGACTCTCGGCGTCGAATTCGATCGGAAAAATAAAATCAGCAAGATTGTGGATAAAAGACTGGGAGAACGAGACGATAAGACCGAGGAAGAGAAGGGAGCGATGCGTTTTACAGAGGAGCGAGTTAAAAACTATAAGAGAGCGTCGAAATTCAATTTGGCTGATGATCAGGATGAGGAGGAAGGTAAAAATGACTTTTTGAGCTAAAAATGCTAAAATTTTTGCTCGAAAATCCAAATTTTGCACTTCGAAATGTATATTTGCAGTAACCATTACTCACAAAGGAAAGTCGCTATCCGACATCGAGAAATACGACAAATCCATGATTTCGGACTCGGATGACGACGAGGAGCCGGGCAATTTGGGCTCTCAAATGGTCCGAATCGCTCATTTCGGTGGTGGAGAGAAGACGGCCGAGGAGATGGTCAAGGAGAAGATCAGTCGAGAGGATATGATCTCGAATTTGATCGCGAAGACGAAACTGGCGAGACATGAGAAGCAGCAGCAGAAGGATGAGTTGGTTAGTGCCAAAAATTGTGATTTTAAGTCAAAAAATTGGTTAAAATTCGGTTAAATTCGACCAAAAATGTCGATTTTGATCATAAAAGTCCCTTAATTTTGACTTTAAAGCAAAAATGCAACTTTTCAAGCTAGTATAGCCTATTGTGAGCCCAAAAATAGCGATTTTCAGTTTCAAAAGTCACCAAATCTAACCCTAAAAAATAACGAATTAAAACTCAAAAAAAGCGACTTTCAAGCCTTAGACTTTTTTAAAGGCATAAAAACGCATTTTTAAGCTAGAATTGCCGATTTTCAGCCTCAGAAAAACTATAATAGGTCTAGAAATTGCCGATTTTGATCTCAAAATTAACGATTTTATGTCCAAAAAAATTATAAATAAGGATTTTCTGTTCATTTTAGGCCCTCAAAACCGGTCTTGGTAGTTAAAACAGCTGAAAACTGTGATTTTGAGTGAAAAAAATCCACAAAAATCTCATATTTTCAAGCTATTTTAGCGAATTTTTCACCGAATTGCGACCAAAAATTCATAAATTTTCATCAAAATAGCACCGGAAATTCGCAAATTTTGCTTAGAGAATGCCATATTTTTCAGCTTAAAATAGCCTATTCCATTTAAAAATTCAGTATTTTCAAGCCTAAAATTGTTCCTTTTTATGATAAAAATCAGTTTAAATTCGCTCCAGGAAGGCCTCAAGGTCATGAAAAATGGATTCTTTTCATGCTGGAATCGCCTATTTTATGTTTAAAAATAGCGATTTTTGATCTCAAATTCTCCAGTCAGAACCCTGAAATTAGCTCATTTTTCACCGAATTGAGACCAAAAATTCACACAAAAGTTGAGCGAAATTCCATATTTTCCAGCTTAAATCAGCCTATTCCAGGTCAAAATTCAGTATTTTCAAAGCTAAAATTGACTATTTTCAAGCTCAAATTTCCCATTTTTGAAGCTGAAATGGCTCATTTTCAAGCTCAAGTTGACCAATTTCATATCCCAAAATTGCTTTTTTTCTAGCTGAAAATGACTATTTCCAGGTCTGAAATTGTCATTTTTGAGCCTTAATTGGCCAATTTCGGCTTAATTTCTTACTTTTTGCTGAAAATTGACTATTTTCCAGGAACTCATGACCGAATCTCTGGATTCCAAGTACGCGGCACTCATGGCGAAGATGAAGTCGTCGTTCCGTCCGACTGGAAGACAACAGCTCGAAAAGGATGACTACGATAGATTGGTAAGCCAAAAATCCCTATTTTGAGTCAAAATTTCCGAATTTTCTGGATTTTTATAACCGAAAATTTCAGATAAGTTGCGCAATTTTGAGCTATTTCCCTCAGAAAGTTCATAATTTTTTGCTCAAATTTGAGCTATTTTTCCCCAGAAAATTCAGAATTTTCGCTATCTTGCTATTTTTCTCCATAAAATGCAGGATTTTTGCTCTATTTTGAGCTATTTTCCCCTCGAAAATGAGTCAATTTCGCTCAACTTAAAGCTGTTTTTTTCCGTAGAAAATTCAGAATTTCCGCTCTATTTTTAGTCTTTTTTCCCCAGAAATTTTTTCTTTATTTCGAGCTTATTTCACACAAAAAATTCTGATTTTTTCCTCAATTTAGACCATTTTTTTCCCAGAAAGTTCATTTTTAGCTCAATTTTAGTCTTTTTTTCCCCAGAAAATTCGATATTTTTTCTTTATTTTGAGTTACGTTTTCTCAAAAAATTCAGATTTTTTCCTCAATTTTGACCGTTTTTTCTCCAGAAAGTTCTGAAATCGCTATATTTTGAGCTCCTTTTCTCCATGAAATGCAAGATTTTTTCTCTATTTAGAGCTATTTATACTCACAAAATTCAGGTTTTTCGCCGAATTTCAAGCGAATTTCATAAATTCTACAATTTTCGCTATATTTTGAGCTATTTTACTTCGAAAAATCCTGGATTTTTGCTCTATTTCCCCCTCGAAAATAAGTCAATTTTGCTCAATTCTAAATCAAATTTTCCAGGCGATCACCCTGAAGACCGAAGCGGACGCTCGTGCGACACCAGCCGATCGTAAGCTATCCGAAGAGGAAGAGGCTCTCAAGGAAAAGGAGCGTTTGGATTCTCTAGAAGCCGCCCGTATCTCCAAATCCAACGCATCGCTCAACTCCAGAAGCCACGTGTCAGCAGACGCCGATGTAGACGTTGACGCTGGAGCGAAAGCGGATTCTCGCAAACTAAAAGCCAAAAATGCGCGATTCGAGGTGAAATTTGACGATGAAGGTGGGCTGATCGATGGGGATGTGGAGAGATCGAGGATTCTGAAGACGTCAGGGGATTCTGATGAGGAGGAGGAGGATGATGAGTTGGACGACGAGGAAGAGGAGGAAGACTTGGATGACTTGATGGAGGATGAGGAGGAGTTGGAGGATTCTGAAGAAGACGAGGAAGAAGAGGAAGCAGGGGTTAAAAAGGGCAAGAAATCCAAGGAAACTGTCGCCACAGACCTTCCATTTGTGTTTGAAATGCCGAAAAACTACAAAAAGTTCTGTGCACTCCTCGAAAAGCATGCCGAATCGATGGATTTGGTCCTAGAGAGACTTGTGAAGTGTCACCATCCGAGTCTTAAAGAGGGAAACAAGAAGCGACTCAATAAGATGTTCCTGATGGTTCTGAGATGGTTCGATGATATGGCAAAGGAGGAGGTTACGATGCAGAGTGTGAAGGAGATGAATTTGGCACAAGCGACCATGTTTTCGTTGATGAAAGTGGGTTTTTGGGGGAAAAATGGTCTATGCTGACCCCCAAGAAGCTCGAAAAATGATTAGAAAATTGCGATAAACCCAATTTTGGGCCTGAATTTGATCAATTTTTGATTGGAAATTGCCATTTTCTAGGTTGAAAATCGGCATTTCTGGCTTTAAAAATGCGATTTAAAGCTAAAATTGACTAATTTCAGCCTAAAATAGTGGTTTTTGACCTCTAAATTGGCGATTTTTAATCATATTTTTGCCTATTTTGAAGCCGAAATTGGCCTTTTTTAAAAACTGGAATTGCTACTTTAAAGCTGAAAATCAACTATTTTTATGTCTAAATTTCTATTCTTCAAAGCTAACACGGGCTTATTTTGAAGCTGAAATTTGCGTTTTTCGAGCCTCAAATGATCAATTTCAGGTTTAAATGGTAGATTTTTGAAGCTGAAATTGACTATTTGACTCAAAAAAATTTGACTCAAAAATTGACATTTTTGACCTCTAAATTGGCGATTTTTAATCATATTTGTGCCTATTTTAACGCTAAAATTGGAAACTGAAATTGCCACTTTAATGCTGAAAATCAACTATTTTTAGGTCTAAAGTTGTCATTTTTCAGCTAAAATAGGCTATTTTTGAAGCAGAAAAAAACCAATTTCAAGTCCGAATTTGCCTTTGTTGAAGCTGAAATTTGCTATTTTTAAGTTCAAATTGGCCAATTGTAGGCAGGAAATTGACATTTTCAAATCTATAATTGACTATTTTCGAGCCTTAAATGACCAAGTTTAAATTCGAAATCGCCAATTTTTGAAGCCAAAAATTGCCTATTCCATGTCTAAATTCGCCATTTTTTGAAGCCTAACTTTACCAATTTTGTACTCGAAATTACGATTTTAAAGCTGAAATTGGCATTTCTGGCCTTAAAAATACGATTTTTTGAGCTTCAAAATTGAATAATTTCAGCCGAAATTAGTGATTTTTGACCTCTAAATTGGCTTTTTAAAATCATATTTTTGCCTATTTTGAAGCTGAAATTAGCTATTTTAAAAAATTGGAATCGCCATTTTAATGCTGAAAATCAACTATTTTTGGCAAATTCTCTTATACAACCATCTCTTATACTACTTTTCTCTTATACTACCGAGTCTCTTTTACTACCACTGTCTCTTATACTACTTTTATGTCTGAAATTTAAATTCTTCGAGACTAAAACAGGCTAATTTTTAAGCTGAAATTTGCGTTTTTCGAGCCTTAAATGACCAGTTTCAGGTTCGAATTGTATATTTTTGCTGTCAAAATTGATCAATTGTAGGCTCTCAATTATCTATTTTAATGCCGAAATTGACCATTTTGAAGCACAAACGTACCTTTCTTGGAGCTGAAATTAGCGATTTTTTAACCTAATCTTGACCGATTTTAGACTCGAAATTACCGCTTTTGAAGCTGAAATCGACTGTTTTCAAGCCTAAATTGCCAATTTTTGAAGCCAAAAATAGCCTATTCCATGTCTAAATTTGTTTTTTTGAAGCAGAAATTCACTGATTTTAGGTCTAAATGTGTCATTTGTGAAGCTGAAATTAGCGCTTTTTAAGTCTAAATTGGCCAAATTTAGGTAGGAAATTGTCATTTTTGAAGCTGAAACAGACTATTTTCAGGTCTAAATTTACCTTTATTGAAGCAGAAATTGACTATTTTTAGGTCTAGATTTGTCATTTTTGAAGCTAAAATTAGCCGTTTTTAAGTCCAAATTGGCCAATGTTAGGTAGGAAATTGTCATTTTTAAAGCTGGAATTGACTATTTTTAGGTCTAAATTTGTCATTTTTGAAGCTGAAATCAGCGATTTTTAAGCCTAATTTTGACCGTTTTCGACTCGAAATTGCCGTTTTTAAAGCTGAAATTGCCTGTTTTCAAGCCTAAATTGACCAATTTTAAATTCGAAATCACTAATTTTTGAAGCAAAAATAGCCTATTCCATGTCAAAAATTGCCTTTTTTGATACAGAAATTGCCTATTTTTGGGTCTAATTTTGTCATTTCTAAGCCAAAATTGACCAATTTCAGGTTTAAATTTTTATTTTTCAAGCAAAAAATAGGCTAGTTCAGGTCTAAATTTGCCTTTTTTGAAGCTAAAAATCCAATTTTTAATTTCGAAAATGTCCTTTTCTAGGTCTAGAAAAGCTCTCTGAAGTTCTCAATTCTTTGCAGTTCGACATTCAATACGGTGTCCGTTGTGTTCGTGCTCTAATCCGTCAACACTGGAAAGGACGTCAAGAGAAAGAAGCCAAATCGCCGGCTTCTTTCGGCCTAATCTCTGCGATTCGTCTAGTTTCTGGCCTGTTTCCAGTCGCCGATCAATGGCATCCAGTCGTTGTCCCTGCGTTTTTTCTTGCCACAGAAGCGCTTTGTTCGGCGAAAATTCCAAATTTAGGGGTTTTGGCAAGACAGATTCAATTGGCAAATGCTATTGTGGAGTATGTCGCGGAGTCGAAGAGGTAAGGAGCGGTTTGGCTGAAATTTTCCTGAAAATCGAGAGAAAAATTACGAAAAATGATCCAAAATTCATGAAAAATGAACCAAAATTTATGAAAAATGGTCTGAAATTCATGAAAAATGATCTGAAAATCGTGATAAATGGACCACAGTTTATGAAAATTATTCCAAATTTCCTAACAAATGGACCAAAATCTAAGGAAAATGGTCTAAAGTTCGTAAAAAATAGTCCAAAATTCAGGAAAAACGATCTGAAATTCATGAAAAGTGGTCCAAATTTTATTTTAAATAATTCAAAATTCATGAAAAATGGACTAAAATTCATGAAAAATGGTCTGAAATTCATGAAAAAATGGTCCAAAATTCATGAAAAATCGCCCAAAATCTAAGGAAAATGGTCTAAAGTTCGTAAAAAATAGTTCAGAAAAAACGATCATGAAAAACAACCCGAAATTCAACAAAAAATAGGCCGGAAAATAGCTGAAATGTTCGATTTTCAGTCAATTCCGAAATATGTTGAACGATCCTATTAGGATTATTTTTTCAGCCGTTTTCGAAAGAATTTTCGACAATTTCCGACAATTTTGGACTTTTTCGGTTCATTTTCAGTCAATTTTGGTCCAATTCCAACCATTTCCAGTCAATTTTAAGCCAATTTTTGTTTCAGATACGTCCCCGAACTGGTCGCATTTGCTCGTAGTGCTCTTCTATTGGCTGTCACTGAAAAACCCGAAAAATTCTCAACTAATGGATTCCCAATCTCGGCGCCACACTCGGAAATGTTGTGTGTCAGGGAAAAGGTGATTTTTTGAATTTTTGGAAGTTTCAAAGTCAAAAATTGACATTTTTAGACCCGAAATTGGCATTTTGAAACCCAAAAATTGGCGTTTTAGACCCAAAAACGGTCATGTTTGACTCAAAAACGGCTATTTTTGACCCAGAAACAATCAGTGTTGATCCAAATTTAATCATTTTTGACCCAAAATTGGTCATTTTTGAGCCTAATTTGGCGTTTTTGATCTTAAATTTGATAATTTTAGACCTGAAATTTGCATTTTCAGACCAAAAATGACATTTTAAAGCCCGAAATGAGCTTTTTCAGACAAGAAATTGGCATTTTTGACCCAAAATTGCTCATTTTTGACCCTAATTTTGGTAATTTTAGACCCGAAATTTGCATTTTCAGACCAAAATAGACATTTTTAGGCCCCAAATTTAGCTTTTTCAGACTTAATTATTGCATTTTTGATCAAAAAAAGGCATGTTCAGACTCGAAAATCCGAATTTTCCCAAATTTTTTAACCTTAAACCCTTTCAGATCACCGACGCCGCCCTACAACCAATCTCTCTCGGATCCATCTTCAACGAGACTCTCCCAGACTCGCCAAGTCTGAAAATTACAGTACTCCGTGCGCTTTTATCACTGATCCAGCATCTTCGTGTCATGTATACCGCCCAAAATGAGACGTATAACATTGTTTTTGAGCCATTTTTGAAGACGTTAAACGCGATTCAAACGGAGAACTTGCCGAAGGAGGTGCAGGAGGTGAGCTGGAAAATTGACTGAAATTTTGATCTGAAATGGCTGAAAATGACAGAAAAAAAGACTCTGAAAATGGCTGAAAACGACTAAAAAATCCGTCATTTCTCGGCTAAAAATTTGACTGAAAATAGGGCTTTTTGAGCTTAAAATCCTTGAAAATTCCCGCAATTTTTAGCTGCAATACTCAAAAATCTATTTTTAGTTCTGAAAAAATTGTCTGAAAATGTTGATTCTGTGCCAAAAAATAGGCTTTTTTAAACCTAAATCCCAAATTTTGTAAAGCTACAGTACCCAAAAAAAGTCACATTTTTTAGTACTGGAAAAACCAAAATGTTTGTCTAAATAGGCTGAAAATGACAAAAAAAAAGTCTGAAAATTGGTTAAAACGGTAGAGAATGCTAGAATTTTTGGAAAAAATCGCTGGAAATCTGGATTTTTTGGCCTGAAATTGTTGGAAATCAACCTAATTTTTTTAAGACTAAAAATAAATTCAAATTGGACGTTTTTGGCTGAAAATTCGTCGAAAACCGTAATTTTCGGTGAAAATCGAGAATTTTTGAATTAAAAATGGCTGAAAATCATAGATTTTACGCTGGAAATATGGTTTTTTGAACCTAAAATTCTCAAAAATTAAATTAAAAAGCTACTTCAAAATCCATGTTACAGTGCTGAAAAAATGTCTGAAAATCTTGATTTTTTTTGGCTTGAAATATGGTTTTTTGAGTTTGAGTTAGTTTTGAAATTTGACTGAAAATTTGATCTGAAATGGCTTAAACTAACTCAAAAAGCGCTGAAAATTTGATTAGAAATTGCTGAAAATGACAAAAAAATAGTCTGAAAATCGCAAAAAACGATAAAAATGCTAGCATTTTACCCAAAATGTATATGAATTGCTTCATTTTTTGATATAGAAAATCCCCCCCCCCCCCCCTGAAAGCCTTTTTTTTCTAGTCTAAAATCACTGAAAATTCCCGAAAACCTCGATTTTTGGCTTGGTTTGAAAATTTAAAAATTCAGAATTTTAGAAATTTCGAGAATTCAAAACTTGAGAAATTCAAAAATTTTTGAAAATTTGGGTTAATCCTGTTGAAAAACAACCAAATTCTAAGCAAAAATGCCGATTTTCAGCTAAAAATTCATCGAAAACCGTCATTTTCGGTTGAAATCGAGAATTTTTGAATTAAAAATGGCTGAAAATCATAGATTTTACGCTGGAAATATGGTTTTTTGGACCTAAAATTCTCAAAAATTAAATTAAAAAGCTACAAAATGCTTTTCAGAAATCCAAATTTGAATGTTCTGAAAAAATTTGTCTGAAAATCTTGATTTTTTTGGCTTGAAATATGGCTATCGGCTTGAAATATGGCTATTCTTAGTATTTTCAAAAATTCCCGCAATTTTTAGCTGCAATACTCAAAAATCGTCTTTTAATTCTAAAAAAAATGTCTGAAAACCCCGAATTTTTGGCTGGAAAAACGATTTTTTGGACCTGCAACTCCCAGAAATTTCCGTCATTTTTGGCTGTAGTCCATGTTAGAGGTCTTGAAAAAATGTCTGAAAATCCTAAATTTTTTGGCTGGAAATAGGGCTTTTTGAGGTTAAAATTCCTCAAGAAACCGTCCAAAAAGCTGCAAAATACTCAAAAAATCCATTTTTAAGGAACTCGAAACCCTAATCGCCTCGATGAAAGCAGAAATTGGTGCCAAGCGTCGTCTGGTGCATCTATCTCTCGTCAAAACCGAAAAGAGCATGTTGAAGATGTTGGAACCACGTTTCGAGTGGGACTTTGACCCCGAACGACCACACAAGGGACCGAAGGACGATAAGAAGAAATTGGTGAAGAATTTGAGAAATGAGCAACGAGGAGCGATTAAGGAGCTCCGAAAGGATACGGCGTTCCTGGCTAGGAAGCAAATGTCCAATGTGAAATCAAAGGATCGGGCCAGAATTGCTGCCACGAAACGAGTCATGGGCGGTTTGATGCAGCAGCAGGGAGAGTGGAATAAGGAGAAGAGAACGGCGGATGTGGAGAAGAAGAAGACCAAGAAATAATTGTTTTTTTTGTTTTTGAAATTTGGCTGAAAATCTGTTAAAATTGAGCTAAAAATTATCATTTTTCATGAATTTTGGACCATTTTTCATGAATTTTAATCCGGTTTTCATGAAATTTGGCCCATTTTTCATGGATTTCGGTCCATTATTAATATATTTCAGACTATTTTTGTTAAAATTTTGACCAATTTCTTCCGTTTTTCTTGTTGAAAATTCGCTCAAATGAGCCCAAAATCTCTCCTGGTTTTTTTTCACATTTTTTTTTCCTGGTTTTTTTTCACATTTTTTTCTTGAATTTTCAGCCAATTTCCCCTCTCATTATCCCTATTTTTCATGTTAATTTTAATGCCACTTTTGTTGATTTTCTTGTTTCTCAGTTATCCATTTTTATTGTTTTTTCTATTAAAAATTAATGATTTTATGACCAATTCTCTTCATTTTTTGTGCTCTCTGAATACGTTACAACGTTAATTAGCTATTTTTGTGAAGAAAAAATAGAAAAATGACCCAATTAGACAAGGAAAATTGATCCTAATTAGGTATCGATTCGAAGAAATGGGGGAAAACGAGAATTTTCTGACTTTTTGCTGATTTTAGGGCTCTTAAAATTTATGATTTTGTCTTGAAATCTGCTGTTTTTAAAGGAGGGGAGACATCAAAAATTTCAAAATTTTTGTTTTTTATCAAAAGATGTAACTCTGAAGTATAAATATAGCTATGTACTTCAAAACCTGAAAAAACACATCCCCGACGAAAAAAATGCTCTTTTTTGTCACCCTAATTTCTTCACCCGCTTGCTGCTGCGGCGTCGCTTCATAATACACAAAAACGATGTGTTCGCCTCTTACACTCGTAGTGTTGTGGGTACTCTCTACGCTAGTATTCGGAAGGTCAGAGGTTCAAACCCTGCTAGTGTTTTTACTTTTTTCTTCTCTTGTTTCTTTGGGATTTAACTTTTTGAACTCGGAGTTTCTGAAGGGCTACAAGCGCGCCGCCGAGGCCTAGCTCCGTGATATCAAAATCAGTTGAAAATGAAAAAAATATGTGTTTTATTATGTTAACAAATAAATTATGAAAAAAAAACTAAAATCAATTCTTAGAAAGGGACCTAACAGTTGAAAAAAAATCACAGAATTAAAAACATTCTCGTGCATGGTTCGTCGTCGGAAGGCGCAGATAACAGTAGATAAGGAGTCGTCTCTGAAAATCCCAGTCATAAAACATTTTTTTTATTCCCAGAGTAACAACGAGAAGAAATGAGATAACTAGGAACGGTGAAAAAACGGTTATCGGAGGGAAAATAGTGGTTTCGCATGTCTATAGAAAACACCGGCCACTGGCAGAATAATCGGCCGATTGAACTTGAAATTAACATGAAAAATTCTCTTTTATATGAGTTTTATAATAAATAAGAAAAAAGAGCTTTTTTAATGTTTAAAATCGTTAAAAATTGAAAAAATAAAGTCGAGAAATAAAAAAATAAAAATGTTTGCGCGTGGGGTTGCGTGCTTTAGGTGCGAACACCGCGACGTCAAAATGCACGACCCCTGAAATTGCCCCCGAAATTTTTGCTGTCTGGCCCCCTTTAAAGAGGAAATTTGAAATTCTGCAAAACCAACAAATTCAAAATCGTCAGAAAAAAAAGCAAAAATTTTGAAAATTCTGAAAATCGCAAATTTTTGAAATTTGAAAATTTCGAAAAACTGATTTTTTTTCTCAGTTTTAGATGTCAAAAATTCAGTTTTTGACTTTAAAAATGACAAATTTCGCTTTTCAAAAAACCAATTTTCAGTTAAAAAGTGGTCATTTTTCGAACTGAAAATACTCATTTTTGGGCTAAAAGTTCCCATTTTTCGAACCGAAAATCGTCGTTTTCAGAGCTCCGGGACGTTTCAGAACTTTTCTGCATTCTTGTATAGTGGTTTTTACACACCAAATGAGCATTGCTCATTTCAATTTTGTGTTTTTATTCGTTCCCATCTACCGTACTCCAAACAGTGATACACTTGGAATTTCTCAAAAAATCGAAAAAATTGAAAATTCCAAAAACGATGTCGCGTTCTCTGAAACCTTCTGGAGCCGTTTTAAGAGCAAATTTTGGTATTTTCGGGATCAAAATCTGAAAATTTTAAAATCAAATTTTATTCAAAAAATAGATTTGTCTAGTTATCCCTCTCCTAGCCACTGCTAGACACTAGATGTCTCTTCTAAGTATAGCCCCTCTCATTCATCAATTCACATTTAGCTCAGAATTCTTGATTAGAGTCCCCCATTCCTCCCCCGTCCCCCTCTCTCTCTCACTTATTGACAGCGTTCGAGAATCTTCTCACATCATCAGAATTTCAAAGTATTGCTCATCTTGCGAAATATGTCCATCACGGTTGCCATGGTCACTAAAGAGCCGAAGAGAGATAAGTCCCTCCCTTCTTCTCTAACACGCACATCGCGTGTTATTGGGAAGCGGGGGGCTCATCTGGCTCGTGAGGGGGCAGTTTGCTCATGGTCAGCCGCATTTGATGTTCCCTTTCGCTTTGGAATGATATTTGTAGGCATCTAGAGATCCAGGAATCCTGGAATCTAGAAATATAGACATCTGGGAGTCCAGGAATTCAAAGAATCAAAAATTTCTATAAAACCCCATCACTTCCTTCAAAATCAACATTTCCAATTCATCCAATCTGAGCAATCAAGTACTTGAAAAGAGCTACAAAATGATATCAAATTCTTGTCAGTTTTGATATATTCCAAAATGTCAAGTTTCAACAAAGTTGTGAAGTTTTGGAACTTCCCAACTTGGTTAAAACTTGAAATTTCGGAAAACCTCAAAATGATATATGTAGAGCTCGATAAGCTCTACAGAATGATATGGAAACTGACAAGAATTTGATATTATTTTGTAGATCTTGTCAAGCACTACATTCCACAGCTTGTTTCAGAGGGAAATTTTGATTTTTAAGAAAGTTATGAGGTTTTGAAGAATTTAAGGTTTCTGGGATCTCTGGAATTCTGAATTCTTTAGATTCCTAATCCCTGAATTCCTGGATTATCTCAATTCTTAGATTCTAAATTTCTGAAAAAAAAACAGCTGGGTTACAAAAAATTAATTGAAAAAAATTTCGAAAACGCGCTCCTGTGGGGATGGAAGAACGAGTTTTCTAGTCCGCGGCCGGAAGAAAATGTGAATTTTCGGGTTTTTTTGGATTTTGGCCTCAAAAATTTTCGTAATCAAAAACAAGTATAGAATTCAAATTTGGCCAAAAATTACTGAATTTTTTTTCCGAAAAAATTGAAAAAAAATTGGGTTTTCTGAACGTTTTTCTTTTTTTCAGAACAATTTCAATTCTCACAGTAAGAATGCAAAAATCTTGAATTTTGACATTTTTAAAAAACTTGAAAACTCTGAAATTCTTCAATTTTTTCAATTTTAAAAAAGTGGGCGGAGCCTAAAAATAATATTTTTGGAAAAAAAGGGAAAATGGAAAAAGTGACTCTTTAACTGGGAAATCCTAAGAAAATATGATATTTTCCAACAGATTTCAGTTTTTAGAAAAAAAAAATAAAAATGGGCGGAACCTAATTAGACTCCGTCCATTTTTTGAAAAAGGAAACAATGAAAAAATATTGTTTTTTTTCAATGGTTCAAGTAATTCTATGAATATATGGGCGGAGCCAAAACGCGAAATTTGACTCCGCCCATTTTTGTAGAGAAAAACTTGCAAAAATTCAATATCGGCACTTGTGGACAGTCAAGAAAGTGGGCGGAGCATAAAGTTTTTTTTTTCGAAAATCTAAAAAAATCTGAAATTTCTAGGTTTCTCCATAACAAAAACAGTGGGCGGAGCTTATTTAGGCTCCGCCCACTTTTTTGTGGAGAAAAAATTTCTAAAATTGAAATTTTGCACTTGTAGCGGTTCAAAAAAAAATTCCAGAGATTTCCAGATTTTTTTGAAAATTTCAAGAAACATTTTTTCCAAATTCTCTCGAATTTCCGCAAAGTATTCACCTTCTTTTTGTACTTCAACGAGTCCGAATACTGACTAAATCTGAAGATAATCTTGACAGGATGTACTTCATGTGATCCACACAATGAATGAATGAATTCCAGCAATTCATCGGGATATCTCTCCTCTCCAACGTATTCTCCGTTGATTTTTGGCCGCAAGAACTCCTCGACCAAATCAATCGATATGTGATTATTGATTATCGCAACGCATTCGTGGTTTCCGACGAACGCCGCCAGCTCGGAAGCGGTTTTTCCGATGCCATTCACACAGTACATCCGGGCGCCCGAGTCCATCAAAAAACGACATACGTCTTGTTTTCCTGAAACAAACGCGCTCTATTGAGAAAATGAAATTTGGCGGGAATTTCAAATTTTCGAATATAAAATGCCTGAAAATCTCGAAATTTCGCCTTTCCTTTAACCCCATTAAATTCCAAATTTTGAACCTAGAGCAAATGCGCTCTATTGAGAAAAACATTCGAAAGGCGGGAATTCAAATTTTCGGATTGAAACCAGAGATTTTGGCGCCAAAAAATGCCGAATTCGGTACGAAAGTTTTCAAACTTTTGCAGTTCAGCGGTTTGGCGGGAATTTGAATTTTTGAACATTAGCATTTCTGAAAATCTCGATTCTCTTCCAAATTTCCCGATTTTTTTGCCTTCAAAACCACAAAATTTTGCGTCTAGAGCAAATGCGCTCTATCGAGAGATTGGAATTTGGCGGGAATTTGAAATTTTCGAGCATCAAAATGTCTGAAAATCTCAAACTTCTTCAAATTTCTTGATTTTGCCTTTTCAAAAAATTGGCGGCAATTTGAAATTTCAGCACGAAAAATGCCAATTTCGGCGGAAAATCTTCCAAGTTGTGGCTGTTTTCTACCGTATCTCCTCACCTGACAACGCGGCAAACATGAGCGGTGTGAAGAGGTTATCATCGGTCTTTTCATTGACATCACAACCCAATTCAATCGCTTTTTCAACCAATTTCAGGTTTCCTCTGAAAAAAGTCAATTTAACGTCAAAAACTGCAATTTTCAGGCCTGAAACCCCCATTTTTCTATTAAAAACAGCAATATTTCGGCCAAAAATCCCAATTTTTTTGTGAGAAACTGGGATTTTTAGGATAAAAATCCTCATTTTCTGTGAAAAATTGCAATTTTTAGGATAATAATCTTTATTTTTCTGTGCGAAATAGCATTTTTTTAGGCTAAAAATCGCCCTTTTTCTGTGTAAAACTGGGATTTCTAGACCAAAAATCCCGATTTCTCTATTAAAAATTGCAATTTAAGGCCAGAAATCCTCATTTTTCAGTCCAAAATTGCAATTTTCAGATTCAAAACCACCAAATCCCTTGTTCTTCCGTCCATCTGTGCGTCCAGATGTCTGCTCACCTATACGCCGCCGACGCCAAAACGCTCATTCCACTGGCGTCTCTCTCCTTTGCGTGCTCTCTCGTCTTGAGCAATTCCAGCGCTTTTTCCGTTTCATTCTTGTCGATCGCATCGAAAAGTGCGGATTTTGGAGGTGGCGGTGGGGGTGGAGCTTGAGCTGGAGCTTCTGGTGTCGTCATTCTTCTGGAAGATGGAAATTTGGCGGGAATTTGAATTTTTTTTAAACACGAAAAAAGAAGAAAAGTTGCGATTCGAGTACATTTACATCATTTCAGGATTTTAAAGATTTTTGAAATTTTCAGGATTTTATGAGTTAAAAAATTTTCAGGGTTTCTAGGAGGGTTTTTGAAATTTAAGGAGTTTTTGGAATTTTGGATTTTTTAGAATTTCGAAATTTTAGGATTTTTAGAATCTTTGTTTTTTTGGATTTCAGATATGTCGAATTTTTAAATTTTCAGGATTTTTTTCGATTTTCAAGGTTTTTAGAATATCAGGATTTTCAGAATTTCAGGATTTTTGGGATTTTCAGAATTTTTAGGGATTTCAAAACTTTCCGAATTTTAGAATATTTAGAGTTTTTCAGAATTTTGGATTTTTTAGAATTTCGAAATTTTAAAAGGATCTTTAGAGTTTTTAGGAGGGTTTTAGGAATTTTTAAAATTTTAGCATTTTTAGAATTTTTAGGGTTTTCAGGAAGTTTTTCAGAATTTTCGGAATTTTCAGAATTTTCTGATTTTTCGAAAGGAAATTGAATTTTTTGAGAAAATCACGGTGAATTTTTTAGGACGGTGAATTTTCTAGAGTAAATGCGCTCTAACGCGAATGCTGTAAGCGCGCTGAGTATCGACGCGCATGCTGAAAAATGAATTACTGAGTCGCTACACAGCGAAATTGCGACCAAAAATGGAAAGAGCGCGAAAAAATTCATTTTGAAAAACGTTCCGGAAAATACGCCGTGAAAAAAAAGGAAAAGTTGCGATTCGAGCACACTTGCAGGATTTTTAAAAATGATACTGCGAAAAAATCAACCTTCAAAAGCATCTGATTGTGATTACTGTAGAAAACGCAAAACTGCAAAAAAAAGTCTACTGGGTTACTGTACCTCTTCTTTCTTAAAAAAAGGAATTCTGCGTTCGGGGGGAATCGAACCCCCGTCGAATGCTTGGAAGGCATCCATGCTGACCATTACACCACGAACGCATAGAACTTCTTCTAGAACATTCTAAAGACAATAAGAAGACGTTATCTCCGATAGATTTTCCATTTTCCTTGGCTGACCAGGAAGTAGATTTTCTTGTTATTCTAGTTCCTGGTCAGCCAAAGAAAGTGGAAAATCTAGCGTAGATAACGGCTTCTTCAAATTTGCAATTTTCGGAAGGAAAGGATTACTGTAGGAGTTAGAAGATTACTGTAGAAGTTGAAAGGTTACTGTAGGAGTTAGAAGATTACTGTAGAAGTTGAAAGGTTACTGTAGGAGTTAGAATATTACTGTAGAAGTTGAATGGTTACTGTAGGAGTTAGAAGATTACTGTAGAAGTTGAAAGGTTACTGTAGGAGGAATTACAGAAACAGCGAACATTGAAATTGCTGTTACATCAGCTTTGGAGTACTGAAGCAAATTGAAAATCGCTAAAAAAGATAGAAAAGGCATCCTCAAACTAGCGAAAAATCCACCTTCAAAATCATCGAATTTCGAGTTACTGTAGAAAACGCAAAACTGCAAAAAAGTCTGCTGG